AGAATAACAATCAGTTTTTTAGTCATCATTTAAATGTCATTTAAGGCTTTCGTGAGACTTATGTCACGTTTAATGCCAATCGAGTAAATAAGGAAAATATCACTTTGAAAGCAAATGTGTTTTTTTTGTATTAAGTTAACAATAATTAAATTTCTAACCATTTGATTGGAAACAATATTAAATTTTGGGGTTTCATTCATACTGTATGTGCCCTTCAATTACATACAACAGACAAACTTTAACACACATTATATGTCACCACAAAAATAATGGTAACTTCACTTCTCTTTGGAGGGCACACATCACAGACTCGAGTGTTTTTTCTCTTTGAAAAAATAAATCATTTCTCTTTTCACGACTAAAATTTAATTACAATTCAATTAAATACTCAATAATAGACTTATTTGTTCATAAACTCAAAAAACACGGACAAAAAAGAAATAAAAATAAAGTTAATAAATGTTAAAATTTTAAAAACATAATAAGTTAACGAATAAAAACGGCATTTATAACAGAATCGATGCCAAACAGAGTGTGTGTATTGTGTAAATGTATTACAGAATCGGTACACAATTCGGTTGCGATTTATTGTAATGAATACATTGTGTTGTTTGACGTGTTTATTGTTTGCATAGCTTCTCTGTTGGGATCGACTATTCTTTAAAAAACAAATACATAATAGAAATGTTAGCTTTTGTTGTTTTTCAGCACCTTTTCAATGATTTAAGTGATGATTTGATTCTTGTAATAACATATCAACGCCGTGAACAAGGATTTCGTACAAATTAATTCATTCATTATTTGTTAAGTTATTAGTATTAATCTTAATTGAAGTACAGTTTTGTCTAATGACCTAATAATTAGGACCTTTTCACTCGTCGACTAGAATTTCTTCTTATTGTTGTGTTATATTTTTTGGTTGTATTTTGACTATAAATACAATCTAACGATTGGCTAATAACTACCAAAGTTTCTCGAAATCAATGCCATCGAAACCGCTATCTCTAGTCTCCCAGTAATTGTCACCATATCTATAGGTCTCTTCTCCGGAACTCGTTATCTCTTTTCTGTATAAAATTAAATAACAGGAAATACCATAAGTTATGTTAAATAAATGCAAACAAACATAATGTTTATCAAACAATTCAAACGATTGCATACCTAAACCAAAGTGGATTGCTATCTGATTGTGCGTTTTGTTCCCTGTCTTTGCGGCGCTCCCTCTGCTGCTGCTCTAACTGCAGTTTAACGCTCTCCGCCCTCTGAATGTCTCCCTCTTCAAGCAGTCTCTGGTCGGGACGGAATCGGGTGTCCGTCGGCGGCAACACTTTCCTCAACTCTGGCGTCAATTCGTTCATTTCGATGGCCAACCGACTGAAGCCGTAGTAGAGTTCGTAGTCCTGAGGCATAGCTCCGGGTCTCCAAATACATTTGGCACCGGAAGCGCTGCCGCTGTGCAGAGACTCGTTCCACTTCCCAAACAGCCGCTCAATCACATCCCCGTTGGCGTTCACGAGCACACCATTCACTTCGTGCTTCTTATTAGACCAATAGCTGGCCTTTTCAAACG